AACCCATAATCTTCTAAAAGAGTGCGTACGCACGGTCAAGAGCATCCTTACGGTGCGCACTTATTTACGCCAAGTTTATTTTTTATAAATCCCGATGTGCACGTGGAAAAATGCGTACGCATATTTCTATGCCCATTTTGTGCGTACGCAACGTTTATACATGAGGCCCCTGGTCTTTTCACGATCGAAAAGGTATCTGATCACAGAAAACGCATGAAGTGACCTGGGGCCTCATGTATAAAACTTTGCGTAGATTTCATCCTTAAAGTGTGCGCACGAACATAAGGCAGAATTTGCGTACACACAAACGTTTTCAGATTTATAAAACCGTTCGTACACCAGAACCTGCGCAGAATTCACTTTATAAATCCCATTCAGCGGGAGATTCTGTGCACGTGCGTCTCCTCCCCGAAATAACCATATATTTCAATTCAATTTCAATTTCAAAAAACTTTATTTATCCCCATGGGGCAATTGCAAGGCCCGTGGATAAGTACAAGTAATATTTCATAATAAAGATAAAAGTAACCTTTTAAATAATAATAATAAAGGTAAAAATAGTTAAATAAGTGAGCAGATGGGCAGATTACATGTGATATGTAGGCTATGTATATATGGAGATTACAACGCCTAGTTTTACTATGCATATCCTCATCTGCATATCATTTGCATATGACTATTCATCCACGTGACACCAAGTTTAACGGTACAAGACGTTAGGAAAATATGAAATGCGAATGTGCCGTCACATTATTACAAACATATTTTTTTAGTAGCCTATCCTTGCCTTGTTTTTGAATGAATAAATCAAATAGTGTTTGTAACAAGGTTCAGGGAAGAAGGAGGCAACCGGATCATAATAATAAAATAAAACTTTATTTAAACAAAATAAACAAATAAATTACCTGCCAGCAGCCCCTCACGGACGACTGCTGGCTTACCAAATAAAATATACAAACAAAAGCAGGCCTGCTCCTCTCTCGATCATCCACTCCGTCGCTCCCCCTTTATGGCTCCGCTCCTTCGTGAGAGATGCAAGACCGGTGTGCTTCACAGGTGCTGCTCATTAGCAATCGCACCACCGGCCTCGCGACTTTCTCTCACGTCCCTCGGCCGTCCTGCTCACCACAGTGTTAAATAGGCTACATTTCAGAGAAAGTTTTTCTCAATCTTTTCCACTGGCCAAAAAGTATTTTTAATTGATTTATATTTTAATGGAAACAGATAGGTTGTGCATTATTTGCACGAAACAATTTTCTCATACAATCTTATGAGCTATCAGTTAAAACATTTAAACACAGCATGCCAGATGGAAAGTGTTCAAAAGCATTGCATCCACAACAAATAGGTCCATTTCTATTTATTGAATATAATTTTTGGTAACTTCTCAGTAATGATTTCATGTAGTTTAAGTGTTTAACTCCATTAATGAGAATGGCATATTTAATCTAAATGATTATATCAGAAGTAAAACATAGTTTAAATCATTCTTTTATTTATTTAAACTATTATTGAGACCATGCACTCTATTTATGATTTGGACTCATAATGAAGATTTAAGGTTTTACTCCATCTGCCGTAAGATTATAGGCTATAATGTGCGTCAGTTTCACTAAACGGCCGGTCATTTAAGAAGGGATGGATGTTTGCTTCAAGTGATGATAGGTTTGTGAAATTATATTTGTATTATATTTCTGTAGATGTATAATTTTCTTTAAATTCTCTGTCTAATAGTGAGCAAAAAGACATTTGACTCCAACTCACCATCGGTGTCGCTAAAACCAATACTCTTCTAAAAGAGTGCGTAGCTACGCATGGCCAAGAGCATCCTTACGGTGCGTGTAAGGATGATAAAATTGATGTAGTAATGATACATTGAATGGGTTGATGCAAGTTAAAAGATAAATAATATTGTTTATAAAAAGGTGCAAGTTAAAAATCTTTATTTTATATCTTAAGGTTAAAGTTAAAATGTTTAAGTCATTGCATTGCTGCACTGTTTGGTTAAAATATTTAATTCATTTCTTTATAAAACGAGAGGGGAAAGTACATGTATGATCGGTAGATCATTGATCCATTGCTTTGCGAGTCAAGGAGCTAAATAGGATAAAAAAAGACAATATGTTTTTAAAATGCTTATTTAACTTCTATAACATTTTTGGGTAGTGTACTTTAATTCACAATATGCTGTGTTTGCTTGTTTATATACGTTTCACTTTCTTTTGCTGTAAGTTTAAGTTCCGGTTTGTGAAGTAACAATTGACTATGTGCACGAGAAAAATGCTAACTTCCGGCTTGAGGGCGGAAGTTGGGTACTTTGTTTCCGGTTGCCGTCTTGTTTACATCAGTGGACCGGCGTTAAGTTAGTTTAATCGTTCGCAATGGACCTAAAACATAAAAAAACCCGATTCACTTTTCAAAGGGCAGTCGGTGGTAATAATCACCATTGCTGCGTGCCACTATGTACCGCCGGGGGGAGATTCAACACAACCTTGAGCTTCCACAGTTTCCCAAAGGAACTTAATTTACGCGCCCAGTGGCTTGTTAAAATCAGAAGGGAAGGTTTCACCCCCACTACCAACTCCAGAGTGTGCAGTCGGCATTTTGAGCAAGAAGAGATAGTAATATCTTCTTCTGGAAAGCGTTGTCTTCGACCTAAGGCAGTTCCATCCTTGTTCGGTTGGAATAATTACACTAAAAAAACCCAGCGACCCGGAGTTTGGGAGCGCCGCCCTCGAGCAATCCAGGCTTTGTACCGCGCTCTAGAGGATGACTCCACCGTGGACATGGTGACTGAGGTGGATGAAAACACACCTATCTCTGGTTGTGCTGAGTTGGCTCCGACACCCCTGATGCAAGACCACGATTACACAGGCAGCTCTTTCATCGTGGTCGACCGGATGAAATTTGAGAACATGTCAAGGCAGATCGAGGAGCTCACAACGCAGCTCGAGTCGCATCATTTGGAGAGATTTGGGTTGCAGCGGTTTGCCACATCACCTGATGACTTTCGGTACTATACCAGGTAAGAAATCAGAGAATTCACACCATCATATTTGGTGTATTTTCTTTTCTTTGTTCTGTAAATAATACATATTTTATGAATATTTACATACATGTCACGGGACAGATCTATCCTTCCAACAAAGTCAGCCTCATTTCCGCTGACGAGGCAATAAAAAACGTATCACCAGCAGCCGGTGATGTGATTAGCTTTAAAGTTTCACGATAGCTTTATAATAGTTTGGCTAGTATGGATTTTTGCAGTTCCATACAATGCGTATGTGGTGAGTGTCTGACTGTTTCAGTAAAGAAGAATATAATATAATGAAGGAAATATAATTAACAGATCTAGAGAAAACAAGGCTAGATTCCATGTTCACAACTTTAGAATGTTTCAATGTAATCTGAATGCCATTAATAGAAAAACTATATGATATGTGCTGTTTGTGCAGATTTCCATCATATGAGCATTTCATGGCCTTTTGGAATCTAATCCAAGAGGCAACGAGCAGAATGGTGAGAGTCACCAGTGGTCAGAAGAACCTTTCCACCAGTACATCCACTGAGAGCCCTATGAACAGATCAACAGTAAGTTCTACAATAAACATATACTAACAGTATACTGCACATTTTACACTGTTAGCTGTGTTTTGTTTTTTGCTTGCTCTGGCACTCTTGTTGTCTGCGCAAGCAACTAAAGTTTCCAATTTTTAGATTTCATACACCCCCACATGCACTGCATATTTTAATCACCTTTTACACCGTTTGTGTATTTTATCTTTGATGTATAGTGTTTCTATCTATTAATAATATAGTAACTATTTTCCCCAGAAATTGCTGCCAATTGACGAGCTCTTCCTTTTCCTTAACTATCTATCAACCGGCTGTACACAAAGGGAACTTGCTCACAAGTTCAACATCCACAGAGCTACAGTGAGTCGAATAGTTGTGACGTGGTCCAACTTTCTATATACTTTACTTGGATCTCTCTCGATATGGATGACAAGCGAATCAGTAAGAGCAAACTGCCCCACAGATTTCCATGGGACTTTTGAAAACACCCAGGTCATCCTTGACTGCACAGAAATGAGGTGTCAAACCCCTTCCTCCCTTCTGCTCCAAAGTGAGGTATTTTCTTCATACAAATCGCACTGTACATTCAAAGCGCTTATTGGCATGTCCCCCCATGGAGCATTGACATTTGTGTCGGCACTTTTTGAAGGCTCCATCAGTGACAAGGAGATTTTTCGCCTCTCCGGCATCACCTCCCTCTTAACACCTGACATGGAAGTTATGGTAGACAAGGGATTTCTGATAGATGAGCTAGTTTCCGGGAAAGTGCATCGCCCAGCTTTTATGTCCAAACAGGATCAAATGTCAGAGGTGGACGTCCTCAGAACCCAGGCCATTGCACGTCTGAGAGTCCACGTCGAGAGGCTCATTAGGAGGGTCAAAGAGAACAAACTTTTTGACACGGTCATCCCTCTCTCCATTTGTGGGAATATAAACCAACTTTTTACTGTTGCATGTCTTCTCACTAATTATCAGTCCGGACCCCTGGTCAAGAAATGGCTGGTCTGATTTTCTGGTGGCCGATTTCCTTATCCATTCTATAATGAACTTTGACACCACACTCCTGGCAAAATAAAGGTCAATAACACATCACAGGATGTTTAACAATACTCATAGAGTTTTGGAAATGATTTGCTGTTACTCTGCGAATAAAACTGCTTTACTTTTACAGTGTTGTCTACAGCTTTGTTCTTTGTGCTTCCTGTTGACTGTGATAGATTTTTTTTTTTAGAAGACCCATTCATTTAAACTAGCTTCTTTTTTTCCTTCTGTTTTTGTGGGTTTCACACTTGTAAAGCACTTTGGTCAACCTGAGCGTTGTTATAAGGTGCTTTATAAATAAATTCTGATTCTATTTGATAGATTTTGTAAAAATTCAAAGACCATTTCTCTGTTCATCAGAAAGCAAACACACATAATAGATTTCAAGTGATCTGTATTTGACAAACTTCAATTTCATAAATGGTTAACATGAAAGTGTCACTGCCCTTCAATAACAATGCATACAAAGGCACAAATGAACATTTATATGAGAAATGATCAAGGTAATTATGCAAGATAATAACAGATTTAAAGGAGTCTTCTGTAAAAATGTGCATGACAAGCAACCAATTTACGCCACTGCCAGGTATTTGTCCATGTACACATGAAAGTAGAACTTATCTATCCCACGCTTCATTTTTTCCATCATACTCTCATCCCTCTGTATTCTTTGTATGAAAACATCATCTTGAGCGGAGACGACATACTCGCACCAACTCATACCGGTGACAAGTAGCTGTCCCTGAACTTGCCAATAATAGGCATGAGTTGGTTTGAGCTGCAATGAGCCATTGATGACCTTGAGATAAGGTGCGTCTACATAATTTGGAATGTTTGGACATTTTATTTCCACAAGGCCAAACTGAGGCTGCTCCAAGGGGTCAAAAACAACCCCATCTGGTGAGGCACCAATCCATGGTGCATCCGGTTGTACCACAAACCCACATTTGTAGTGGTTCACACGTTTTATCTGGCAATATTCCCAGATCGCATCTGCCTCCAACTCCAAACCCCTTTTCATAGGCCCTGTCTGATGAGTACCTCTAAGAATGCGTTCAGCAAGTCCCTCTTCAGAGGCCTTGCCCACATGGCAGATCTCTCTAAAACGAGATGCAGTCACCCGGGGTTTCCGTACATTGTACCAATCGGCACACAAACTCTGCTCTCGCGTAGCACATTCAATCTTCTGGGCCAATTCCAGGGTAGCCTCAAGACTTTTCATGTGCAGCTGTTGCTTCCTGGAACAGACGAACATGCACTCTGATGGTTCAAGTCTGTAGCCTTGCAGTGGCAATGATGGGGGAGGTGGAGCATCATGAAAAGCCTTTGCTTTCTCTTTGGCAGGTTGCTGATAAGAAAGGGGACTTCCATGTTGCACCTTGCCGAACAGTGAGTCCACAAGTGGGATATCCTCACTTATTCCCATGCTGCAGATCATAGGGAGGTCAGCATCAGCAAAATTATTGAACACCTCAGACACCCGAAGAACTGAGAGGTCAGGAAGTTCCCCATGAAGGCCTTTGTACAGTTTATTCCTGTATGTTAGAAAACACACACACACACACACACACACGCTAAAAATCTGCAACAGAGTAATACATTTTGCTTGAGGGGAAGAGCATTCTGGAAATAGAATGCAATAACCAGTACAGTGACAGGTCATCAGAATTAATAATAAAATTGGAGCACTTACCGCACTCCCTCTGCGGTCTTTCTTGTTTTCGGTTTGGCTGAGATCACAGCCATCTTGTCAACAGGGCCCGGCTTTATCCCCTATGTCAATATAGTGAAAAATAAATAGCGAATGTAGGAAAGTAGTATTTTTTTAATCCACTGTAAAGCAGGTACAATGTATTTATGAAAAGCGCTTTATAAATAAAGTTTGATTGATTGAACTCACCATAACTCTAGGCTTATGCCACTGTTGTTCACCTTCAGTGCAACTTAATATTGGGGGAACAACTTGGAGTTTCAATTGTGAATAATGTGCAGATTGAAACAGAAGAGCTACACAATGGTTGCATAAAGCTTTCCCAGCCTTGCAGGTGCAGCAGAAGTGCAGTAGTTGCACAGGCTGCAAATCTTTTAGGACAACCTATTAAGTAAAACATAACAATGTATTTAATGTAAACAATGCATATCCATTGACAGTATTACTCATTTCTAAAAAAATAAAATAAAATGAAAAAAAAGCCTGTCTGAACACCCCCTTAACATAACAACAGCCTGACATGATCCTAGAAAAAATTATAATACCCTACGTCCATCAATACCTTACAGTCTAACAATACCCTACCCAACATTAGGCCTACTAGTATTTGTACACTGAACAATTTCACACTGCTGCTGACTGTAACCATACTCTGAGCTTATGAGGTTTCTCAGCTTTCCTCATGGACCTGAAGCACTCTGCCCTGACCACCACCTCTCCTGAGACCTGATCTTTCTCAGACACTGCAGAAAAATAACAGTAATAGCAAGTTATCAATAGAATAACATGCAAGTTAGTTGGTAAGTATAATAATTAGCAACTTATAGGAACATATTGTTGTCAAGCTATCTAAAGCTTAGCTATCTAAATACATTTATCTAAAACTATGTTCGTTTGTTCATAGTCAAGTCAATCAACAGACTTTTCACACATATTTGGGTGGAGCCAGGCTCTGCTGCATTTTGAAAAAGTAAACGATATTTCACATCTGCTTTTTTGTCACCGCACCCATGGTTGCGTATCCATGACAACTAGACGGAAGTTTTTAGGGTACTAATTATTTATTATTATTATACCCTTTAACCAGGATATATATATATAGAGAGATAACATAGCAGTTACCACATAGCATAGCTTGAGCATGTAACATGGATGTTGTTGTGACTTACCTTCAAAATTATGCAAATACTGAGAGATGTAATATTTAAACCCCTTCTCTCTCTTGCTCTGGGGAGCTGGAGAAAAATCACTAACCAGTCGATGGACATCATCGACTGTAATATCTGGCAAATGTCCAAGACATCTGGAGAAATTTAAATCTTCTACGTCGTCCATCAGGCTACCGGAAACTAGACACCCCATATCGGTTTCGCAGCCGGAACTAGCATATGCTAACGTGCACATAGTCCATTGCTTATGCCTTGTTCAGCCTGTGTACGGAACGCGCGGCTTACATTCGTCCATTACAACATTGGACTTGACTGAAGCCACATCGTGTCCGTGTCATATCTTTCTATTTCCCTTTTAACAGGTAAGAAAGTGGGCTGTAATATGTTTGAACGATTTATATAAGTGTCTAATACCATAGGGAACATGTAGGGAGTACATTTATAGTTTATAGTAATTGATATGCACATTTAGCGAATACTTTTTGTGCGAAAAAACAAACAAAAATAACGAGTTTATTCGACTATTTCTTTTCTTCCTTGTAGGCCAGAACACTTTTTGTGCGAAAAAACAAACAAAAATAACGAGTTTATTCGACTATTTCTTTTCTTCCTTGTAGGCCAGAACGAGACTTCCTTAGATTTCCACGACGCATGCACGAGATTTGCGATCTGCTCACACCAGCTTACACTACTTCAGATCGCAATTCTCGCGCATGCGTCGTGGAAATCTAAGGAAGTCTCGTTCTGGCCTACAAGGAAGAAAAGAAATAGTCGAATAAACTCGTTATTTTTGTTTGTTTTTTCGCACAAAAAGTATTCGCGTCGCTTGATAAACATATAGTTGAGCCACGGTAGTCACTTGGGATATTTAAACATTTTCTTCTTTGACTTTCTGGGCCGTCAAGAGGCAGTCCTTTAGGAGCCAATGTGGTAGTTATACAGCTCTCAAATTTAATCAAAAATATCTTCATTTGTGTTCCGAAGACGAACGAAGGTCTTACGGGGTTGGTACAGCATGGGGGTGAGTAATTAATGACTTAATTTTCATTTTTGGGTGAACTAACCCTTTAAGTTCCGGTTTGTGATCAGAGGATCTGTGAACAATTGCTTATGCCTTGTTCAGCCTGTGTACGGAACGCGCGGCTTACATTCGTCCATTACAACATTGGACTTGACTGAAGCCACATTGTGTCCGTGTCATATCTTTCTATTTCCCTTTTAACAGGTAAGAAAGTGGGCTGTAATATGTTTGAACGATTAGACACGAACGAAGTGTCTAATACCATAGGGAACATGTAGGGAGTACATTTATAGTTTATAGTAATTGATATATGCACATTTAGCAGGCTAACCGTGAAGTGTTGATCCAGTGTTGCCTGTATGATAACTATGTCACATGGCCCGAGATTATAAGCGTGGTGCTAATGTAAAAGTGCAGGCGCCGCCATTTTCTCTGTGTATTTGTTTTATATTGTAGAAAAAAGGTAAAAGTATTATTGTTAAAGTTTATACAAAAATAGTGTTTAATGTGAAGAGGCAATATACTTTCTGTGTTAAGTGCAACGTTACTACTGATGTTAAAATGTGTATTCTGAATGAATGACTATAAAACAGTAGTATTTAGCATTACAGAATATTCTATTGTGCTCTTTGTATTTTCCAAGTAATTTACAGGGTTAAGTTAAATCTCTTGTTTAAACAGTCTGTTTTATTAATGTACTTTTTCAAGGTAATTTGCCAATGTTGTTTTAAGATGCTGTAAAAATGCTTTGATATATTTTTGGGTAACTAACTTTAAAGATTGACTCAGATATTTTGTAATAAGGAGTCATTACTGACCAGCTGATGTTTTTTTTTATTGTGTAATTCTTAGAGGGACATTATTATGTCGTGTAAAGAGAAAATTACATGGTTAAATGTGATACTGAGTAAATATATATTATGCTGTTCATGGTAAATGCATTACAACATTGGACTTGACTGAAGACACATCGTGTCCGTGTCATATCTTTCTATTTCCCTTTTAACAGGGGCACAACATGCGCACTTATTTACGCCAAGTTTATTTTTTATAAATCCCGATATGTGTGTGGAAAAATGCGTATGCATATTTCTAAGGCCATTTTGTGCGTACGCAGCGTTTATACATCAGGCCCCAGGTGCAGGCTAAACAGCCCCTTTGAATCCATCTTCTACTTTTGTGGAAAGTTGACTAAAGTTGTGTCGCTCGAGTTGTCTTCTCTGATACGGAGAATGGCGGCGAATACACTACCTGCAAGACATTGGCACATAGCCAGGCGAGCGTGAACGCGCATGACGTCACGGCCAGTCTCAGATTCGAGCCTGAATCCCTCTTATTTATTTTACTGTACAGGATTATAGAGGCGATCTCAGTGATCAGAGAAGGGCTCATTCAGCCCATCAGGCGATTGTTTAAGCATGTATGGGTTAGAAAACGGCTATTTTTAACATGAAATGTTGCGCAATGCACCTTTAAACATGTTCTCTTATTTCAGTAAAATACTGCCTAATAATTCTTCATTTCTAAGGCTATGTTCACACTTAATGCTCAATTCCGATTTTTTGAAAAAATTAGATTTTTTTGCAAGGCCGTTCACATTTCCAATTAAATGCGACCTTTTGTGATCTCCTGTGTGAACGTGAAATGACCCAGAAGTGACCCGCATGCGCAGAAGAGTAATCAACGGTCAACGACGTCACTTGCTGTTTGCGGAATAGTTCTTTTTTTTCATATGTTGCGAGCTTTTGTTTTATTATTACTATTGCCACAGCCCATATACAAACACAGACAATAATTATTTTATCGACGGGCAAAGTTTGCACATAAATGTAAGATTTTTCCGATCCTCACCGACCTCGTCATAAAACCCAATTAACAAACACATTTCACTATCGCATCTGACGTTAATGAAGTATTTGTGAATCAGGAGAAGAGTTTTCGGGAAGGTCTCTTTACGGGCAAATCACTCTCATATTTACTTGTATATTTACAAAGGTTTCATGAATGAGACCCATTATCAGTTATAGCATACTAAAAAAAGGTCAAAGGTCAGATGTAGATTAATTGTATATTAAATTAGCCTTAATTTAGAGGGGATTTCATAATTAGTCCTATGGAGGGTTTATATTTTGGTCAATTAAAGCAAAAACATTGTGCTTTGTATTTACAGAATGATCTGATAATCCAGATAATGACGGAGTGCAGTGAAATTGATAATCTGAGGAAACAAGTGGATGATGCTAAAATGAAACTGACTACAGAGATCAAGGTACTAAACAGACATGTCCTGGTTAATTCTGTTGTTAGTTTCAACACTTTATTTATTTATTTTTCTTTATTTGTCTAGTTGAGAAAGCAAGCTGCTGCAGAACTACCGGCCCTGAGAGCAGAACTGATGCAAAAGAGAGCTCAGATTTAAAGAAACACAGAATGCACATCTATGTGCTTAACAGTAGATTTCTTAGAAATTAGATTTGTTGCAAATTCAGCCTTCACTGAAATGAAGAAATGATGTGTAAAACACGTTTTTTACATTTACATAAAGCACAAAACATTGTATTGAGATTTGAAAGACATTGTTTTGAAATTTGTGTAATGTACAGTATAAATGCTATATCTGCTTCCTGAGTTAAGGCTGTTTAAACATGAAGTATGTAATTTCTGCACCATTCATGACACCAAATGAACTAAATAATGAGTTTCCAGAACATGTCCCCTGTCCTCTGAGATGGTTAACTCTAGGACTTATAATTAATTGTAATAACTATGTTAAAGGTGAAGTATGTAATTTTTTTGCATGTTAAAACCCATTTTAACATGCAAAAAAATTACATACTTCACCTTTAACATAGTCACACAAATCATTGTTTTTTATAATTTGTAAAAATTACCACAAAACAGAAGTCTCAGAGAAATGAGCTGTCAAGAAAAACAAACATATTGCTTGATATTATGCTGATTTAGGATCATTTGCAGTATTACATTTGGGAAATTATGTTCATGCAAATGGTTACAATGATCAATAAATATGCCAATGTCAATTAAATATAAAGTTTTAGTAGGCTTGCTGACAAGGAATGTGTTATTTATTTGGTTTATGATACAACAATCAAATTAATCATAAATATGACAAATATTTATGGTAAGCACTTCTTCTTTCACTCAAACCTTGTGTGAATATGGACAACAAGAGACAGCAGAATCCTATAAGACCCTGTGTACTTTGGGTATTAGTGCGTTCCACATGTCCACAGTCTGTTGCTGGGCGATTGGATCACTGCTGTAGTCCAGGAGATTTCCGTTCCACATCCCGATTCCTTTCAGACCATGCTGTGACACATAGGTAGCTTTTAGAGCAATACTTTCTGGGTCATCATACCACACCTGATGGACCTTGCCTTCTGTGTCCTGTAAATAAAAATCATATGCATTTTATGGAAAATATAACATGTCTGTCTAAAATACATTGACTAATATAAACTCAATATCCCTCGCATTAAGATGAATAAAAACTGATCACTGGAATTGCATTATGTTTGAAAAGGTGCATTTTATACTGTATTAAATATTGTGATAAAACATCTAGAATTGATACTGTACCTTGTAATTATAATATGGAGCTCGCTGGTTCTCATCCCACAGTCTTCCTGATATTGAGCTGTTGATCTGTTTCATCATGATGCTGTAGGGAATTTGTTTGCCGGATGCATCACTACATGGAGCCCCTCTGAATGGCACTTTTGGAATTGTACATATTCCGTCCTGTTAGAATAACAAAGAGTGTCAAACAGAATAACAGTTAAAGCAATTATGACTTCTCTGTTCTATTGTCTAATCTACATTAAATTATTGTTGTAATAACTTTTCTATAACACACACATACATTATATATAATATAACAAAAACGTTTTAACTATTGCATTATGATGAATTATGATTTATTATTTGAATAGGCTGCAATATTCGCCATCAGAAAATATGGCCAATATAACCAGAAAGTGTGTTAACAGATGCGTTCACAGATTTTATGTCAAGTCACCTTTGATTTTACAGTGCTTTGTACAACACATTGTTTTAAAACAGCTTTACGGTGATCAACAGGAAAATAATGATTCAAACAGAGTTCAATTTGGCTGTAAAGCAGCTCTAAAAAGAAAAAAAAAAAGTGTCTTTTGTTCAGCTGAAGTCATCGAATGATTCAGTTCTGTTATAAAGATCATCATTTATTAAAGGGTTAGTTCACCCAAAAATGAAAATTAAGTCATTAATTACTCACCCCCATGCTGTACCAACCCCGTAAGACCTTCGTTCGTCTTCGGAACACAAATGAAGATATTGTTGATTAAATTTGAGAGCTGTATAACTACCACATTGGCTCCTAAAGGACTGCCTCTTGACGGCCCAGAAAGTCAATGAAGAAAATGTTTAAATATCCCAAGTGACTACCGTGGCTCAACTATATGTTTATCACGCGACGCGAATACTTTTTGTGTAAAAGAACGAGACTTCCTTAGATTTCCACGACGCATGCGCGAGAATTGCGATCTGAAGTAGTGTAAGCTGGTGTGAGCAGATCGCAAATCTCGCGCATGCGTCGTGGAAATCTAAGGAAGTCTCGTTCTGGCCTACAAGGAAGAAAAGAAATAGTCGAATAAACTCGTTATTTTTGTTTGTTTTTTCGCACAAAAAGTATTCGCGTCGCTTGATAAACATATAGTTGAGCCACGGTAGTCACTTGGGATATTTAAACATTTTCTTCATTGACTTTTTGGGCCGTCAAGAGGCAGTCCTTTAGGAGCCAATGTGGTAGTTATACAGCTCTCATATTTAATCAAAAATATCTTCATTTGTGTTCCGAAGACGAACGAAGGTCTTACGGGGTTGGTACAGCATGGGGGTGAGTAATTAATGACTTAATTTTCATTTTTGGGTGAACTAACCCTTTAAATTAGTCCAATTTGGCTATAAAGCATCTCTGCAGAAAACGGTGATGTCATCGTCCAGCTCAGTTCAGTTCTCTTCCAATAGTCAGTGTAGTCAGAGCAATAATATTGTTGAATATTAAGTGTCCACTATCTAAGCAAGCCAGAGGCAACAGTTGCAAGGAACCCAAGCTCTATCGAAGACAGAATGGAGAAAAAAAAAACCTTCATAACTATTGAGATTCATGTGGGAAAAATCCATGTCGATAATGAGCACAGCTGCTCATATAAGGGATAGTTAGCCAACAAATGAAAATTATGTCATTAATGACCCTCATGTCGTTCCAAGCCCATAAGACTTCCATTCATCTTGAAACACAGTTTAAGATATTTTAGATTTAGTCCGAGAGCTTTCTGTCCCTCCTGTGGAAATGTATTTACAGTATACCGTCCTTGTCCGAACCAAGAGATCTCATAAAAATTGTCTCACAATCATAACAGACAGATATGCATTTGTATGCACAAGATTTGGTATTTGTTCAAAGGTTACATGCAATTTGTAGGATGGTTTGTATTTTTTGTGAAATATTATCTAGACTTATTTATTTATATTGGCTATAAACACAATGCATATGTGTTACTCCACTGCATTTTCTCTCAAATTGACCTTTGAGCTTGCACATAGCTTTCTTTTTGTTTGAGAGTCGAATTTTCCTTTGCAAAAGCTGGACTTGTTTGTTTAATTATGGCACAATATTAACTCCTCCATTTTATATATATATATATATATATATATATGTGTGTGTGTATATGTATATATATAAGTATATCGGCCATCAGCCACCCTGCTCTCTAAGATATCGGCATTGGCATCAAAAAAACAATGTTGGTCAACCACAACTATTCAAAATTAACAATACTTCAGAATATACTTTTATGTGTTTGTTAGGCCCAATCCAGTCTCAACAGAAGTCCTAATCTAGTCCTGCGAAATGGCACAATGGTCATATGATCTAGGATGTAAAAAACGTACAAACCTCACAATAAAAAAACAACTATAAAAGTCATGCACTTTTGTACAACCTAAGTTTCGAACAATTTCGACATCAGTGGTGAAAAATCACAATCGCTGCAGCTGTGATGTTTACAACCAGTCTTGTTCCATTTTTGTTCAGTCCCTTGTTATATTTAATATTGATTAGTCTCCCCAGGTGTTTCTTATTAGCCACACCCCCTTATTATCTTATTAAGCTGGCCTGTGTTTAGTTCAGTCTTTGTAAGTTCTCATTGTTACACTATGGTGGTTGTTCTGTTCCAGAGTCTGAATTTGTGAAGTTTTGAGTTTATTTAATAAAAGACTTCTGCACTTTGATCCTGCTTCCTCCTCTGCTTCAGCCAAAACGTAACAGAAGGTGCAGAAGATGAACTGGTGCCAAAACAAGGATGGTTGTTTACGAGTATTTAGAAATGAATGCTACATTCAAAGAGAAGTGATAAGCAAATCACAGTGGCTACTCAGAGGAATTATGACTGACCGCTCTGGTCAATCCAAGCACAACAAGCTGAGCAGTGTTTGGAAGAAGCATTGCATTTTCTATATCGAAAAGCCTTAATACTGCATATCATTTTCAATAAAGTACTGAAAATATTGAAAATAAATTGCTTACCACTGAAAAATGTAGGCAGCTGTAGTCATAACCATACCATGGAACACCCATCACAAGTTTCTTTGAGTCTATGTTCATGCTGATGTATTGATCATAGGCTGAAAGATATATTTCTTGACTTTAAGTGTGCATTTTGAAATGGAAACTTAAAAACATAACTTTTTCAAAAGCCAAATGGACTAATTTTTTATTTTTAAATCACTTACCTGTCAATGTCTGATTGAAGGGGCTATTGGCCATGGCTATACAATCACCCCAGATCTGGCTTTGCTCATCATAGGACATAACAAACAAGAAATCGCATGAATCGGCAATGGCCACGTAATCATAGCAACGCTCATCGATGCATTTGGGCGACCAAGCCACATCAAATGATACCTATGAGTCAAGATGAATAGACAGTACTGTATCTCAGGGGCTTTGAAAGTGCCTATATGACATCATTGTCAGATGTGCTGTTTTACCTGAGAGCCTGGGATCTTTGTGTGGAAAATTTCAGTAGTTTCCTTGACGAGGGCTGTCAAAGCATAGTACTCAGGGGAACCGGTCTGCACCGCCTGCTCAACGTCTAGGTTTATTCCATCCATAAACTGACTCTTTGCCAACTTGACCTTTGCCTGTATCCAAGCTGTCCTATTTACTGGATCCACAATATCTGAGAGTGGCACATCTCCTGTGAAGAATATTTAATTAATCATGTCAATTTGATCAGTGATCAAGTCACATTTATTACGGCTCATAATTTGGGTTAGTGAAACCCCCAACCTTAAGTATTGAACGTTGGCACATATATTACGCTTTCTGCTAAAGGCAAGAATGATACCCCAAATGAATTGGCTTCTTGAGAATAGGAGTGTTATTATTTTTAAGAGTTTTGATTTAAGCATAAAACAACAAAACAAGTAAAAAAATAATCCCATAGACAGGACCCAGGCCATATCTAAAGACTAGAATATTATAGATAATAGTGAGTGGATTATTGAATGATGAATTATTTCCCATCTGCCTTTCTGCTGTTATCTCGGGACGCTTGTCCCGAGAAAAATGGCGTTCGTCAGGTCCAGTTTTGTGTCCAGCCTCTCACGGGGATTTCGGATGCCCCAACGCCTGTGATGAGACGACTCAACGCCTGCGATATGTTATGGCGCCGTTTGATTCATAAACAATATTTATATTTAATATTTATATTTAAACGATATGAATGTAAGCCAGAGAAGAACTGGCCCCCGACTGAGCCTGGGTTCTCCCAAGGTTTTTTCTCCATCCAATCTGATGGAGTTTGGTTCCTTGCCACTGTCGCCTTGCTTTTGGCTTGCTTTGAGCTTGCTCAGTTGGGGTTATTTATTTAGTGTTTAGCAATGTTGTTGATCTGTGTTGTGCTACTTACATGTTATCACTGTGAAGCTGCTTTGATACAATCTGTATTGTGAAAAGCGCTATATAAATAAATGTGACTTGACTTGACTTGAGTGGCTGTTTTGAATTGGGGCAATAAGAAACCAAACGCAATAGTGTATTACACTATAACAACAACTATAGAAAATCTGGTAACGCTTCCTTTTACAGTCCAGTTACCCATGTAAATACTATGTACTTATTTTAGTAACTACAATTACTGGGTAATAACTAGTACTAACCCCGAAACTTCCCCTGTTCCATGTACTTACCTTATATTAGCCAGTACTTTCTAGGCAAGTACACTGTAAGTACTGTACTGTAAAAGGAAACGTTACCGAAAATGCCTGGCAATAACGCACAATACTCCAACATCATGGTAGTGGGTTTTGCAAGGGTAAGCGCAAGACATGTTAAAAAAACTTAAACATTTTATGATTTGAAATGTACACAGTAACACTTTAACCTGTAAATTAATGGTAAAATGTTACCAGTAATTTACATTTAATTGTACAGTTCTTTACTGTAATCTACTTTACAGTATGTTACTAAATTAAAACTAAAAGATTAACTAATTTTTTAGCAAAAGCCAACTGCCTTTAATTGGCCAACTGCCATTAATTTTATAAACTAATATTTTTAATATGCTAATAATGTGAGCATATTATTACTGTGAACTTATTTCATTTCAGTCCACTTTTAAAAAAAGTTTTTTAAAAAAGTGATTTTCACTCGATCAGCAACGACACAGTCTCTGCCTTTTATATAAAGCAACATGCAGCATACAGTATTATTAGTTTCTTGATCTTGTCCTTGACTGAAGTAAATGGTAAACTACTGGCATATATATATATATATATATATATATACACACATATACATATATATACATACATATATATACATATATATATATACACATACATATATATATATATATACACACACACGATTCCTGTCATGTGTTTTCCTTGTCTTGTGTGGACTTTAGTTATTTCCTTTTCCGTGCTATGTTTTGTAGTCCTTTGTAGTTTTTCTTGTTGATTAGTTTCCCCAGGTGTTTCTGATTTGCCACGCCCCCTTGTTCCCTTCTTGAGCTTGTTTGTCTGTGTATTTAAACCTCTGTGCTTCAGTTGTTGGGTGTCGGTCGTTGTTTAATGTTATGCTGTTTTGAGTTCCCTGTTCTTTGTTTATCCTGTTTTATTTGTTTGGTGGATTATTAAAGTGCTTGCGTTTGGATTCCCTCTCCGCTTCATCCTTCCCTCATCATAACATATGAAGAGTTCAGATGCAAAAGCCTCTAAATGCCATTTGAAATTTTCTTCTAAAATGACCATTTTTATCAAACTTGTATATTTAAAGGGGAAATGAAGCGGTGAATCAAGTTTACATGATTTACAAGATGGATTTCCAATATAATCAACAATTATATAAGAAACATTACAAATGTAAACATTTAGAAGAAAAAAAGAAAAAAACTTTGTATCTTTCGCCGCCAGGGCGCCGCCATTGTGCAGTTGACGTCACGGGGTTGGTTGGCTCAAGTTTAACAGGCTCTGGGCATTGAAAATCGCGACATCAAACTGTGTTTATACCAGTGTTTTGACCGCGAACGACTAATGTTAGGTACAGATATTAGACAAAAAGACGACGTCTCATGTTATATGTTGACAAACTGCACATAGAAACATTGTTCGCGATGTCTGCCGTCAGAGATTCCCGTCTCGTCAACACCATGTAAGTTACGTTGCTATGTTGAACAATCAGTGGTGGTTTGGGGCGGAGAGCGGGTTTGCAACGCTAACTTACCAGGTGTCAGTGTGGCTGTTGTCCTGCGATGCCCTCCGTGTCAGAGTCCATCTGTTGTCAAGAGGTTGATCTTGAGCATGTATTGCGTGGTCAATTCTGCATCACCGGCGCGCACGTTTACCATGCTGTGCCGGGAGTTAGACGTGTGGAAGCGGCGATGCTTTCCCTGAAAGATGTCAGAGCGGAGACACTTTTTCCTAGTATATGTAGGCTGTAGCTAACGTTACTAGCACTACCAGTGCGAAAATATGGACGTTTCATGTCCCCTTTAACAAATACGTGCTAACTTGCATGTTAATGACGAGACGGGAATATCTGACGGCAGACATCGCGAACAATGTTTCTATGTGCAGTTTGTCAACATATAACATGAGACGTCGTCTTTTTGTCTAATATCTGTACCTAACATTAGTCGTTCGCGGTCAAAACACTGGTATAAACCAGTGGAGATTTCTTTAAGACTGCAAGGGAAGCTCAGCTTCCCCTATAATGTCAAAAAAATAATGGTCAAATGTGTACTATTGTCTTAACATTTTATTGAGTAAAAATGCGTTAGAACACGGTAATCTCGAAGATGAGTTCGTTCAGAATAAGCTACAAATAGCAGGTCGGCTGACTTGATCTCCTTCTCATGCATACCTGTAGCGCATCACAGTGCATGCATTTTCCTATGGCATTTCCCCGTTGAAGCTCGGCCTCCATTGACTTCAATGGGGCTGCTTTGAACAGTTTTTTTCAGTGCTGTTAAACTAGACGGTCATTGGATAAATGCTGCGATTATGTCCCGCCCACGGACGCCGGGCGTCTCTGGGGTGAATGGGGAAGTGGGCTGGCCTGGCGCCCGGGCGTCCGCGTGATGATTGGAGGATTGCATCTCCTTTTGATTGACAGCGATTTCACCCAATAAAAAAAACGCTGACGCGGAAGCTAGTTTAAAGACTTCGAGCTCAGTCTCGTCGCGGATTTTGTGTGTATTTTACTCGAAAGACGAGCTGTTGTAACATATTTCTTAGTATTTGCAATTTTCATCAGATATTTCACAGTTCAACCTAATTCCCACATTTCTTCCGTCGATGTCAGGTGTCTTGTTACATGTGCAGGCGTGGTGTTTGAATCACAGCACATCTGCTAGTTTGGTTTCACTTTTGTGTTGGGATTCGGACATGCATTCTCCGCGTGTTTGTTTTCGGTTGTGAGTGCACAGGATGACCTTATGGTCGTACTCATGCGTAACGTTAGCGTTCTGTCTTGTCGTGTTCGCTCTGTTCAGTGTGTTGTGTACACTGATGGGCAGTAACGCGTTACTGTAATCCAATTACTTTTTTCTAGTAACGAGTAAAGTAAGGGATTACAATTGAAAAAACAGTAATTAGATTACCGTTACTTCCCCGTAAACAGCCTGCGTTACTGCGTTAGTTAACCGTGATTTTGTTTAGTCAGACTGTCTCGTGACATGAGTCGTGCGTGAATAAAAATGATGTATGAGCGCCGCGACATCAGTGAGAGACGACTAGAGCGCGGGAGAGAGCAGCCGAGCTGCCAACTCTCACACACGCTCACACGACACACCCCCGATTTCTCGCGCTGAAGTGTCAATCCCGTCGGTCAAATCCCTGAAAGATGAGTTTATCTATAAATCTAACCGTTGAGCCACATTTGTGATTGACTAGTTATACCGCAAATTAGTTAAAATCTCCCGGAATCTAGAGCGAGCGCGCATGCGAGACTGTGTTCCAAAGTCCAAACTTCGTATCGCGCGCGAGGAGAGCAAGAGAGAGACTTGAGGGGCGTAGCAATCATTTCAAAAGTGAGGGGGACAGAATGTCAAGCATTATACCTTTTTTTTACAATTGCATACTGCATTTATATTGAATGGTAACACTTTACAATAAGGTTTCATTAGCTATCTATCTATCTATCTATCTATCTATCTATCTATCTATCTATCTATCTATCTTATTTATATATCTGTTTTACTTAACCAAAACTGTCTTTCATATTGAAAACATTCCAACTTCATGCTTTTCAAACTTTCTGGTAGGCTTTTTAAAGAAAACTTAACGTTTGTCTACAAACCTTTTTAATCAAATTGTAAAGTGTTACCTTATTATATGGTATACATCATGTACACATGTTACAAGTACAACACTGCATGATTCAAGCTTTTTTTAAAAGCCAGTCTATTACTTTCACCTGTGAATTTTCTTTCTTTTTTTTTGAGTGTCATCCTCTTTCTGACCTGACAACCCTAGGCTCCCTGTTTCTTGATCAATCTTGACAACACAGAAGAAGAAAAAAAACATTAAATTAGTGCAATAATATTATTGAACCCTATAAATTAAGACCTAAATCAGAACATTAATGCATACAATTGCATACTGCATTTATTGAATGGTAACACTTTACAATAAGGTTTCATTAGTTATCTATCTATCTATCTATCTATCTGTCTGTCTGTCTGTCTGTCTG